GAGTAACTATTGGTTGTGATCCACCATGTAGGTGCTAAGAGTACCTACCTGGGCCCTCTGCAAGAGCGGCCAATGCTTCCAACTGATGAGCTATCTCTCCATCCCTGTATATAAATATTTAAATATCACCTATATGAAATGTTATTTTTCATTCAGAGAACATTATAGTTCTAATGGTTTCAGTAATAATGTCCCTGCACATTTGTGATTACCTGACATTGGGAAGCATCAGTGTACTTTAGCAGCCATATTGTTATTGAAATGTGTGTCTTATGGATTATTGGCACACAATTTTCTGAGTGGGCAATTCATTTGTCAATTCACAACTAATAAAATTTGTATTTCTCCTTAACAATTGCAACATACATTGTGGATTTAGCATTATGGCAGATAAAATACAGGGTGTGTAAGAGAACTTTTACAAAGTATATAATTGATAATAGCTGAAAAATCATTGTTATTTCCTGGATATTTTTTGTACCTTGTATTAGGAAGTTGTGTTAGACGTAATGCATGTATTTGCTCACTATTCTTGGGGAGTAGAAAACAATAAGAACAGTGATATGTTCTGCTATAATCACTTGTTCCTTATTGATTACCCATGTCTGTGAAAACCTGCTTATAATTGCACCTTAATTCTATTTTTACAATAGATCTGTTAAAATAAATTACAGGATTACACAAAGTCTCTGTTACCAGTATTTTTGAATGTTTAACATAGAGCATGGCTGGATTATAATAAACAACAAATATAAAATGTTAAGTTATTTTAATTCATTCATCATTCACTTGAAGCAGCAAAACATTGCTTTAGAAATCTTCCACAAAAATTGGCAGATTTCTAAAATCTTACAAGATAATACTTTCTACCCTTATTAAAATGATATTTCTTTTAACAACAGGTAGTAGAATAAAAAGTATCCATAGATGTTATATTCCCACTCTCCTTTTTCTTTTCCATTCACCTACACTGCTTGGCACCAGAGAGAGCTTGCTGACATGTGTAGATCATGCTCAGCTGGTTTCTCCATTTAAAGGAAGCATCACTGTCCCATTCAGTTTGTCTCTTAACCTGACTCATGCCTTGTCTTCTTCATCAGACTCTTAGAAGAACGTGGTTGAATAAGGAGATGACTAGCACCTGAGAACCTCCTGGTATAACCATCTATCTCCCTTTCATATTCCTAGTACATAGCCTGGATATCTAGCCTCTGAAACATTTTTATTATTGATTGATTGCTCAAGAAATTATTTCAGTCAAATTACAGAATTTGATTGCATTATGTGCTTCATACATAGAACATTAAGTGTTTAAATAACAAAAGGAATGTACAAACATTATAAAAGTTCAAAGAAGTCTGAATTTTAAGGAAATACCATTAGCAGTTGATATCCTTTCCTTCTAAACCCATAGGAATCATGTAATAGAAATTTGATATGTGCCAGGCAGTGGTGGTGCACACTTTTAATCCCAGTACTTGGAAGGCAAAGTTCAAGGCCAGCCTCCTCTATAAAGCTAGGTCCAGGACAGACAGGTGGCAAAACAAATAGAGAGGAATGTGACATGCTGCAATATATTACTTTCAATTATGCAAACTAATGGAGTCATATTTATACATAAGCATCAGGATATATATGTATGTATGTATGTATGTGAATTATTTTTATAATAATGTAGTGTGTGTGCGATATTTTCCCACATATTTTGGACAACAAAATAGGGTGGCAAGACATTTTGGGATTTGTTGGACAGCTCTGACACTTATTAAGTAAATCCAAACTTTGTGTTTTACTGACTAAAATAATGATGTATGTTCTAGAGTTTTGTATGTTTCAACGTTATAGATGATCTCTACTGTGATAAGTGTACATTGGAATTCCTAGGATAAGGTTTCCTTGTCCTGGTCCTCAGCCTAAATAATACACAAGTACTATCTATGGCAGGTATCAAATATTTTAGCAAATATATTATTGATTGTGTGTGATTACATAGGATATATTTTGTTATCGGTATTTGAATTTAAAAGAATTGCTAGTAGATTTGCATATATTATTTTAGAGATTTTAGTCAAGAATATCTGTTTCTGGAATAAATTCTTCTTGAGCAAATACAGTTATCAATTTTTTCCCATTCATTGAAAGTATGACTTTGAGTACAGTATAAAACATATACTTGTAATGATGATGTTGAGTGTAGTTACTGTCACAGTAAATTGCATTTTCACAGAACTGGTCTAGCATCTCCCTCTCTACCTCCTTCTCCTTTGTCATCTCTTTTTCCCATCTCTCCACTTTCTCTGTACCTCATCTTTTCTCATCTCTTCCCTCTCTTCTTTCTTCCCCTTCTTATCTCTCTTCTCCCTCTCTTTCCTCTTTCTCCCCTCTCTTTTTCCCTCCTTCACCTACTCTTGTTCCATTTTTTATGTTTTTACACTGTGTACTCCCTTTAGATGGCAATATCTCAGCCTGGCATATCTTTTCCTCCTTTTTTGCTTTTGTTGAGATGAGATTGAAGATCTCATCACATCAGTTTTCTTTGTTTTTGTTTTCTGTTTTTTTTTTTTTTTTTTTTTTACCTTAGGATTCAGAGTTTGAACTTAGCCTGGCATACTTGCACTGCTAGTAACTTTCTTTACTCAATTAGAGATTTCCTGGCTCTCAACACTGATCTTCTACCTTCATAGAAATTGTGTCTCCCCCAGGTGTTTTATAGAAAAGGGTTTGGAAAAAAACATCATACCAAGTAGTTCCCACCCCTTCTGTGCTTCACTTTATAAATTGACATGAAGAAATAAAGTGTTTGTAGAAAGTTCTATCCTCCTTGAACTAGTTCTGATGGAAATAAAATGTAATAAATCTGATAAATATAAAATGATACCATATTACTTAACATTATGTTTGATATTTTTTCAGGTCATCATAATAGTTCCTATGCTATTGAAATACAAATATATTGTAATTAGTTGCCATTTATTTCAGAGATTGAATATGAAATATAAACATTATTTCTCTTTAAGTATTAACAAGTACAGTTATAGTAATAACAAAGCTGACTTTTATACTTTAATCTATCTATAATGATACAAATGAATAAACTGTCTCAGTTTCCATGCTATATAATTTACCTGATTTCTAATCTATATGCAACTAACTCTATATTTTGAATAGTCCTTTTTTCCCTATCCTTTCAGACACTGATTTTTCTTTATTCCAGGTAAAGTCAAATATTTTGGACTTCAACAAGCCTGTTTTAAAATAGAAAAAAGTACACATTTTGAAGTTTTAAAATAAGAAAAAGAAAACTGTACTTTTTCAAGCTTTTTCCTTGCAACAAAATGTTTTTTCAGGATCCATTTTATTTTATTTTTCAATTAAAAACAACCTTAGATATTAATCCCACTTCCCTTCCCTCCCATGTCCTCCCTTTCCCCCACCAACTCCCCATCCCACCCCTATCTGCTTCCAGGGAGGGGGAGGCCTCCTTTGGGGGATCATCAAAGTCTTTCACATCATTTCGGAAAGGGCCTTGGTGCCCCCACGTATATCTAGAATGAGAGAGTATCCCTCCATAGGGAATTGATCATTCTCCTTTTGTTTGTTCATGTGGTGCTTTTGTTTGGTAGCAAAGAAACCAAATCAGCCTTTTTTGTACACCAAGGAAATGTTCCCTGAAAAATTAATTCAAGCTAGAAGAATCTAAGTACATTGATGATCACATCAAACATATGCAAGATTTAAAAGTAAAAGTATGGCCAGTTGTTGGTGGCTCATGGCTTTAATCCCAGGACTTTGGAGGCAGAGGCAGTCAGATTTCTCTGAGTTCGAGGACAGCCTGGTCTACAGAGCTAGTTCCAGGACAGTCTCCACGGCAACACAGAGAAATCCTGTCTTGAAAAACCAAAAAGATGAAAAAAAAATAAGTAAAAGTATGAGCCTCAATCTAATTCTCCGGTATTCTGTTGGAATGCGGTGCCACCATACAGAGTTTCCTATTCTATTGAGGTTATTATTTATTTTCTTGAGACAGCTACCTGTGCTGTTAAGATCCCCTACAATATAGGTGGGCAGATATGATCCTGACCCTAAGAACAACTCATAAGTTCTAGTATTGAGGAACTGTATTAGAATCTTCCTTCAGGAGATAATAAAACATAACCAGTACCTGGTATCTCAGGGCGGAGAGTACAAAGGCAGAACATCAACAGCATTTGCTATAGTATTTTTTCCTTCTATACTTATAATCATTGTTAGAATAAGAGTTATCAATATCATGTCTTTGATGGGGATGATGATACTGTTGATATTTTATTTAGAAATTATTAGTGTGAGTAAATTAAGCATGTTAATTTCAATTCTAAAATTGCAAAATCTGTGGACATTTATTTATATTTATTAATAGTTTTAACTTTTTATAAATATAGTTATCTTTTAGCTTTATCATTTATTTTGGCATTATTCATTCTTAATATCTTTTATTTTTTAACCCATCTCCTTCCCTTTTCCCACATCAAACACACATGACTTTATGCATATAAAATTTCTACGTTTCACAGATGAGGACAGATTAAAAATGCTGTATTGTTTGTTTAGTATCTTTGCTGTTATAATGAGTAAAGCAATAAACATTGGTGTGGAAATATCACTGGTGTATTGATGGAGAATTGTTTTTAAAGTATTTTGAGGTTGTATAGTAGCCTCGTATGGTAATTCTATTTCCTAAGAACTTCTGTACTGGTTGACATGGTAATATGAAGCTGTGCTTTTAACTTGCAGAGTTAACTACCTCTTTTTCGCAGTGTATTTTATAGTGACACTTGTCAACTTTTGAAGATTTAAATTTACAAATTTTAAGATATTCTCAGTGGCTACCAAAAACAAGAGGAAAGGAAAAAGTAAATGATAAATAATTTGTAAAGGCACTTGGAATGATTAGTATTATTTTATTACCTTTACTACATGTGAAATTATTATTTTATTGATAAAATTATTTTCACTTTTAGGTTTTCACTCCCAGTTACGGCAACAGCAGAAAATTGCATTCTTACTATTTACCTATATTTGGCAGTTCATCTGGACAAGCAAAAAGTTATTTTAAAGGACAGTAAGTTGTTTATGAATGATTCCATTCTCTCCCAGTTCAGGTTCATGTTAACTAAATCTAACATCTATAAATATACTGAAATTATAATTAACAACAAGCCATTTTGCATAAGGGTAGAACAGTTGCCTATTATGTACAAAGTTCTAGTGTGATAGCCAGCACCTGAAAAGAAATAATTCAATGCACCTTTATTAAACATTGTTTATTGCCCAGAGATTTGCTTGTTATGGACAACAGAATTTAGCAATATCTTTTATTGCATTAACTTAACAATATATCTGTAAATGAATAAATAATTGGAAGATTGATCCTTACATAAGTCAAATGAAGTATTGCACTTGTATGTTTGTAGTGATTTTATAAAAATCATGAGTATATTGTTTCAGCCTTGTCAAACGATAAGTTAAAGAAGATTGAGTAGAGAGCAATATTAAAAATGCATAATTGTTTGACAGGAGCACAGAAGTCTGACTTGCAGTGTCAGGTCCATCAATTTTGGTTCTAACTTAGCCTTTTTCCTCCATCTTAATCAGTTATGTTATTTATTTGCTTTTTAAAATGTTAGTCATACTTATAAATACACTTGGTCCTGTTCTGTCTATGAGAGAGTAGAAGATTTGTGACTTCTTGGAAAAATCAAAACAAAACAAAGCAAAAAACAGACCATTACCAAATATACTACCCTGAAGTTCCAAATACTAAGGATGTACCCAATTGTATAATTTCTCCTTTTATTATAGTCACATGACCAAAAGCCAGTCTTCTCTTCTGGCTTAAGTTTCTCCTTTACTTTCTACTACCCAGGGTCTATACTTTACTATATAAACTTTGATACACTTTCCAGACAATTTCTGCCACTCACTTATCTTAAGTGAATTTCCAGGAAGATCATTCATTTCACGTTTATATTTTCTAAATTAACAAGTCCAAAAACTGAGAAAGACAAATGCTTAGTTTTCCAGACGTAGGGGGAAATCTATAGAAAACAATGAATGATAAGTACTTTTCTCCTGCTAAGAAAAATGTTCAGAGAAAGCAAGAAGCAATCTTTTACCACTGAACACAACTAAGACTTGATTCCACACCGTTTCCTTCTACAAACTTTCTCAGGATTCCACGTACCATTCTCTAAGTCTGCTTTATTCATTCTAAATGTTCCCTCAAACATATTTAATGAAATTACTTTCCTCTGTCTTTTTTAAATTCTGTGTATAAATCATGTCCATTTTGCTATAATTCATATGCTATATCTTCAAGCTCTAATTAGAGATTCAGAAATACATTACACAAGTATCTTGATTGTAACAACATAGATTACAGAACTAAAATAAAATTCATCCACTGAAAGATCCAAATTCTTCTACATACTCTATGTGTGTAAATATGTATAAATTTCCTCTGATGTATAATCCAGAAACCTGAGGATCATTTTTCATTACATCTTCTTTCTTATACTGCACATTGAGCCTGTTATTTTACTACCAAATGTCTTTTAAATACTTTTACTTCAGCTGCAGTTGCATACATTCATGATCCTGTTTTTATTAAGTCAAGGCACGATTGTAATTATTTGCGGCCTCTTGTAATACATCTCCCATTCATAAACCATGCTTCACATTTTGCTAACAGTGTTATTTATAAAATGAAATTTCCTCTTTAATTCCATAAATACAAACTTTCCATAATGGTGCTAGAGACATAGCTTAGAAATAAAGAGCATGTGCTATTCTTCCAGAGGACCCATGTTCTGTTCCCTGCACCTACATTGGTGGCTCATGACTTTCTATAAATTTAGCTCCAGCAATTCCAATGTTGTCTTCTGCCCTCTGCAGGCACCCATACACATAAGCCCAGGAACCCCCTACACACACACATAGAAATACTTCCATAGGTTAAGTGAGTGTTATATACCTATAATCCTAGATTTTTTTCAGACCTCCAAATTATGACATGGAAATGTATTATTAGTTATGAATGCTCAGCCTTATCTTAAGCTTATGGAAAAGGGATTAAAATATCCAAAATGGTACCAGCTTATAAACAAGAAGTGATTTCATTATTGATCAAAGAGGAAAATGTATATTTCATAGTGACCTTTTATGTCATTTATGTAATAATTCCAGTTACTTGGTATAATCACATTTAAAATGTCTTACACACTTTTTTGTGCTAAAGTTAAATATTGTTCATTGGCTTTTTTAACTTTGCCTTATCCAATAATTCCATTTGGTTTACAAAACCATACCAGCATATGCTATTTTGGCAACTTTGCCTTATCCAATAATTCCATTTGGTTTACAAAACCATACCAGCATATGCTATTTTGTCAACTCATATAATAACATAATTGATATTTAGACTCTTTTATACAGTTTGAAAATGTGATATTAAATTTCACAAATATTTTTGTTGCTAACTATGCTCTAATTTGTCATTTGTAGATAAAGAAGGAAATACTACAAAGACTAGAGGCAGTTTTTTGATTCCTATGATTCCACGCCGGGATTCCAAACATTTTGCAAAAAAGGGATCCCTTGTTTCTAAATTTAATGATGCTGAACTTACATATGGGAACCTATTTGTAGGTATGTGGAAAATGTGTCATGCACTTCTCAAATCTAGTCCATATTAATAATCTTCTCAGTATCAAAATTAGTGTTTCAAGCAATGAGTTCATTAAAATCCCAAGGATTTGTCACTGTATTAGTGGTTCATCTGCTCTCGGTAAATTTTTCAATGATCAGCAATAGAAATTCCCTGTCTTTACACTATTAGTACCTCAGTAGTAGTCTGTATGCCAAAATTTATTCTTCCTGGTTCCATTCATTAATTAGCAGAGTACAAAACCTAAGAGTAATTTTATTAAATTTAACTATAATGTTAAATATTATGTTCATTCCTAGTAAAATTTTTGTAACATTTTAAGTACATTCTGTATAAAGGTTGTGAACTGTAAATTTAAGGGCTTTATTATAGTTTTAAAGCTGGATTCAACTAAAAAGATGTAAGCATATGTAAACATGAGATCTTGATCGTAATTGAAACTAACTTCAGGTATTCCTTTCTCTAGATACTGTTCATGCTCTAAAATTAACTTTTATCAATTGGGCAAATACCTTCAATCATGTGCATCTTGTGTATTTTTGTAGTTGCATATATAAATGTGTTTGAGAAAATACAACATGCTAATTTATACTATTTGAAGTTTTTATAATACAAAATATTTTGTCCTATTTAAGTGCGTTGCTCAGAGAAAAAGCTATTTTGAATATGTAGATGACATTTTGTTTCTGTAATTCCTTCAGATGAAGTCTAATTCTATATACTAAGCAGTGATAAATATTTTTATTTCTTGTTTCTTTTCTTTCTTTTTTTATTTTATTTAATTTTATATAACAAAGTCCAATTAAATGAAAACAAATATTTATACACAATATTTGGGAATTTGGGCATCGTTCTTTCCAAACTACTTCCTGCTGGTAAGGGGCGCTGTCTTGGGGGATACGAAGAAGATTCAGATATCCTGGCTGTAGTCTGTAGGGCTATTTGTCCAGCTGATTTGAATGTAGGATAAGTTGTACTCTGTTTCAGGTGGTCTTGCGTGATCAAACCACATTAGTCTGGAAGGAATCCACATCTTTTCATTTTCTGTGGAAACAAAAATAGAAATACTTTTCCCCAGTAACTTGTCCTTTAACTCAAATTTTGGAGTCAAAGCATTTTTTAATTTAATTTATTATTTTACATGTTGATCCCAGTTCCCCCTACTCCCTCCCTCCCCCGAGCCCTCCCTCCCTCCTTCCCTCCCTTTTACCCTCTCTGCCCTCTCACATGCACTCTAAACACCCTCCCTCCCATCCCCCACCCCAATTCCATATGTAGGGGGAATGCCATCCAGTTGGGGTCATGTAGATCTGACAGGTCCTGTGAAGTAGGGACTAGGGCTTCTCTCCTGTCTCTAGATTAAGGCAGTTATCGCTCCATGGGGGATATGTTTGCAAAGTCCTTTTGTGCACTAGAAACACATCCTGGCTCCACTGTCTGAGGTCTCTTAGACTGCTCATTCATTCTGGCTGAGACCCATATTCAGGTGGGTCTGAGTCAGTCCCATGCTGGCTTCCCAGCTATCAGTCTAGTGGCCTTTAGCTCCTCTTGTTCAGGTAAGCTGTCTCTATGTGCTTCTGCCCCATGGTCTTGTCCTCTCCATCTGCATCTGGGTTCTAGTTCGACTCAGTGTTTATGTATGGGTGTTTGCTCCTATTTTCAACAGGCATTAGTTGAGGGCTCCATGGAGAAGTTAGTTGTTGATCTCACTCTCCGGGAAGGGCATTTATGATAGCCTTTCCAGGGAAACTGAGATTGTTAGTTGGGAGCAGTCTTGTAGTTGTCTCGACCTTTCTTTGTGTTCAATTTTATGTTCAAACCAATATTGGCTCCCTCTTTTATGTTCTCTCTCTCTGTGTCTGTCTCTCTCTCTTTCCTATCTTCTATTCCTAACCAGGCTCAATCTTCCTGGTCGCACATGATTTCCTTTCATCCTCCTCATTTTCTCCTACTTCTCTCTCCATTCGCTGTCCTCCCCCACTTCACCTGAGCTCTGGGGGACTTGTCCCTTCCCAGTTCTGTAAGGGACTTTATGAATCTCTTAGAATACACCTTGTATCCTAGTTCGTCTGGTGATGTGAATTATAGGCTGGTAATCATTTGATCTAGGTCTAAAATCCATATATGAGTGAGTACATACTGTATTCCTCTTTTTGTGACTGGGTTACCTCATTCAGGATGGTTTCTTCAAGTGCCATCCACTTGCCTACGGATTTCAAGATACCATTATTTTTATCTGCAGAGTAGTATTCCATTGTGTAGATGTGCCACATCTTCATTAACCATTCTTCAATTGAGGGACATCTAGGTTGCTTCTAGGTTCTTGCTATTACAAATAGTGCTGCTATGAACATAGTTCAACAGATGTCTTTGTTGCATGGATGTGAATCCTTTGGGTATATGCCTAAGAGGGGGATTGCCGGGTCCTGTGGTAAACTAATTCCCATTTTCCTGAGGAACCACCATACTTATCACCAAAATGGCTGTATGAGTTTGCACTCCCACCAGCAGTGGAGGAGTGTTTCACTTTCTCCACATCCTCTCCAACATAAGTCATCACTGGTGTGTCTAATTTTAGCCATTCTGGCAGGGGTAAGATGGCATCTCAAAGTTGATTTGCATTTCCCTGATAGCTAAGGATGTGGAGCATTTTCTTAAATGTCTTTCTGCCTTTTTGATTTCCTCTATTGAGAATTCTTTCTTCAGTTCTGTACCCCATTTTTAATAAGGTTAGTTTTTGTATTGTTGACTAATTTCTTGAGTTCTTTGTATATTTTGGAGATCAGCCCTTTGTCGGATATAGGATTGGTGAAAATCTTTTCCCAGTCTGTGGGCTGCCGTTTGTTCTTGTCGACTGTGTCCTTTGCCTTACAGAAGCTTCTAAGTTTGAAGAGGTCCCATTTATTAATTGTTTCTTTCAGTGTCTGTGCCCATGGAGTTATATTCAAGAAGCGGTCTCCTATGCCAATTTGTTCATGGGTACCTCCTACTTTCTCTTCTAAGAGGTTCAATGTGGCTGGGTTGATGTTGAGGTCTTTGATCCATTTGGACTTGAGTTTTGTGCATGGCGACAGACATGGGTCTATCTGCAGTCTTCCTCACACCCTCATCCAATTGTGCCAGCACCATTTGTTGAAGATGCTGTCCTTGCCCATTGTATAATTTTAGCTGTTTTGTCGAAAATCTGGTGTTCATAGGTGCATAGATTAATATCAGGATTTTCAATTTGATTCCATTGGTCTACCTGTCTATTTTTATGCCAATACCAGGCTGTTTTCAGAACTATAGCTCTGTAGTAGAGCTTAAAGTCAGGTATGGTGATGCCTCCTGAAGTTCTTTTATTGTATAGGGTTGTTTTCGCTATCCTGGGTCTTTTGTTTTTCCATAAAAATTTAAGTATTATCCTTTCAAGGTCGGTGAAGAATTGTGGTGGGATTTTGATCGGGATTGGATTAAATCTGTAGATTGCTTTTGGTAAGATTGCCATTTTTACTATGTTTATCCTACCTAACCAAGAGCATGGGAGATCTTTCCATTTTCTGGTATCTTCTTTAATTTCTTTCTTTAGAGTCACAAAGTTCTTATTATACAGGTCTCTTACTTGTTTGGTAAGCATTACACCAAGATACTTTATGTTGCTTGTGGCTATTGTAAAGGGTGATGTTTCTCTGATTTCTTTCTCTGCCTCTTTGTCATCTGAAAAAAATAGGGCTACTGATTTTTTTGAGTTTATCTTGTATCCTGCTAGTTTGCTGAAGGTGTTTATCAGCTGTAGGAGTTCCCCTGGTAGAGTTTATTGGGTCGCTTATGTAAACTATCATATCATCTGAAAATAGAGACAGTTTGACTTCTTCCTTTCCAATTTGGATCCCCTTGATCTCCTTTTGCTGTCTTATAGCATTAGCTAGAACTTCTAGTATGATATTGAAGAGATATGGAGAGAGAAGACAGCCTTGTCTTGTTCTTGATTTTAGAGGAATTGGCTTAAGTTTCTCTCCATTCAGTTTGATGTTGGCAGTTGGTTTGCTGTATATTGCTCTTATTATGTTTAGGTATATTCCTGTATCCCTGACCTCTCTAATACCTTTATCATGAAAGGCTGTTGAATTTTGTCGAAGGCTTTTTCCGCATCTAGGGAGATAATCATATGATTTTTCTTTTTCTGATTGTTAATATGGTGGATCACATTGATAGATTTTCGTATGTTAAACCATCCCTGCATTCCAGGTATGAAGCCTACTTGGTCATGACAGATGATTTCTCTGATGTATTCTTGAATTTGAGTTTGCCAGTATTTTATTGAGTATTTTTGCATCGATGTTCATCAGGTACATTGGTCTGTAGTTTTCTTTCTTAATTGTGTCTTTGTGAGGTTTGGGTACCAAAGTTATTGTGGCCTCATAAAAAGAGTTTGGCAATGACCTTCTGTTTCTATCTTGTTGAACAATTTGAGGAGTATTGGTATTAGTTCTTCCTGGAATGTCTGGTAGAATTCTGCACTGAATCCATCTGGCCCTGGACTGTTTTTGGTTGGAAGGCTTTCGATGACTGCTTTTATTTCATTGTGGGTTATAGTTCTATTTCAGTTGTTGTTCTGTTCTTGATTTAATTTTGGTAAGTGATAGTTATCCAGAAAATTGTCCATTTCTTTTGAAATTTCAATTTTTGTGGAATACAGATTTTCAAAGTATGAGCTGAAAATTGTCTGATTTCCTCTGTGTCCATTGTTATGTTCCCCTTTTCGTTTCTGATTTTGTTAATTTGCATGTTCTGTCTCTGCTTTTTCATTAATTTGGATAAAGGTTTGTCTATCTTGTTGATTTTCTCAAAAAACCAACTCTTTGTTGCATTGATTTTTTGTATTGTTTTCCTGGTTTCTATTTTTTTGATTTCAGCCCTCAAGTTGATTATTTCTTGGCGTCTACTCCTGCGGGGTGAATTTGCTTTTCTCTGTTCTAAGGTTTTCAGTTGGGCTGTTAATTCTCTTATGTGACTATCCTCTGTTTTCTTCATATGCGCACTTAGTGAAATGAACTTCCCTCGTAGCACAGCTTTCAAGATGTCCCATGAGTTCGGGTGTGTTGTATCCTCATTCTTGTTGAATATTAGAAAGTCTTTAATTTCTTTCTTCATTTCTTCTTTGACCCAGGAGTGATGCAATTGTACATTGTTCAGTTTCCATGAGTTTGCAGGTTTTCTGCTATTTGTGTTGTTGTTGATTTCCAATTATAAAGCTTGGTTGTCTGATAAGATACAGGGGACTATTCCTATTCTCTTGTATCTGTTGAGGTTTGTTATGCCACCTTGTATGTGGTCGGTTTCTGAGAAGGTTCCATGTGGAGCAGAGAAGAAGGTATATTCTTTTGTCTTTGGATGGAATGTTCTATAGATGTCAGTTTACCCCAGTTGAGAAATAACTTCTGTTAATTCTTTTGTTTCATTGTTGAGTTTCTGATTTGTCGTCCTATCTAGTGTTGAGAGTGGTGTATTGAAGTCTCCCACTATAAGTGTGTGAGGTTTTATATGAGCTTTGAGTTTTAGTAGTGTTTCTTTTACAAATGTGGGTGACTTTGTATTAGGGTCATAGATGTTCAGAACTGAGACTTTGTGTTGATGGATTTCTCCTGTGTTGAATATGAAATGACCGTCTTCATCTCTTTTGACTAGTTTTGGTTTGAAGTCTAATGTTTTAGATATTAGGATAGCTATGCCTGCTTGCTTCTTATTTCCATTTGATTGGAAAATCTTTTCCCAACCCTTTACCCTGAGGTAGTGTCTATCTTTGAAGCTAAGATGTGTTTCTTTTATGCAGCAGAAGGATGGATTCTGTCTTCGTATCCATTCTGTTAGCCTGTGTCTTTTTATAGGTGAGTTAAGACCATTAATGTTGAGGGTGAGTAAGGACCATTGATTGTTGATGCTTGTTTGATTTAGGTTTGTTTTTGGCAGTGGTATTGTGAATATATTTGTTCTGCTTCACCATAGGTTTCTGGTGTATTTGGATTATCTGTTGCCTAAATTTTTGTGGGCATAGTTACCTTTCTTGGGTTGGAATTTTCCTTCCAATACTTTCTGTAGGGCTTGATTTGTAGATACATATTGGGAAAATCTTTTGTCATTAAATATCTCTTTCTCTCCATCTATATTGATTGAGAGTTTTGCTGGATATAGTAGCCTAGGCTGGCATCCGTGTTCTCTTAATACTTTTAGAACATGTATCCAGGACCTTTTGTCCTTGAGGGTTTCCATGGAGAAGTCAGGTGTAATTTTGATAGGTCTGCCTTTATATGTTACCTGCCCTTTTTCCTTTGCTGCTCTTAATATTCTTTCTTTATTCTGCATGCTAGGTGTTTTGATTATTATATGTCGAGGCGTCTTTTTTCTTTGGTCCAACCTATTTGGGGTTCGGTATGCTTCTTGTACTTTCATAGGCATGTCCTTCTTCAGATTTGGAAAGTTTTCCAGGATGATTTTGTTGAACATGTTTTCAGCACCTTTGAGCTGGCCTTCCTCACCTTCCTCTATGCCTATTCTTAGGTTTGGACTTTTCATGGTGTCCAACATTTCCTGGATGTTTTGTGTTAAGGATTTGTTGGATTTATGATTTTCTTTGGTCAATGAATCTATTTCTTCTAGTTTAATTTCTGCACCTGTGATTCTCTCTTCCATCTCTTGAATTCTATTGGTTGTGCTTGTGTCTGTAGTTGCTGATTTTTTGCCCAGCTTTTCAATTTCCAGCATTTCTTCCGTTTGTGTTGCCTTTATTTTCTCTATTTCAATTTTAAAGTCTTGAACTGTTTCCTTCACCTGCTTAATTGTTTTTTCTTGGCTTTCTCTACTTTCCTTAAGGAATTTGTTCATTTCTTCCACTTTGTTGTTTGTTTTTTCCTCCATTTCTTTAAGGGATTTTTTCACATCTTCTTTGAGGGCCTCTATCATTTTTATGATGGTAATTTTTAAGTCATACCCTTCTGCTTGCTCTGCTTTGTTGTTGTGTTCCATTCTAGTTGGTGTAGATTCCCAGATTCTGGTGGTGTCATGCTTGTCTTTCTGTTGTTAAGTGTTCTCTTGTATTGCCTTCTTCCCATAGCTTCTTCCAGTAGGTGTTGGTGGGGTGTCCCCCTCTCTCTATGATACTTCCCCAATTGGCTTATATGGGTCTGAGATTCAATATCTGTAGCTCTGTGTGTTCCAAGCCATCTAGGACATTTCTCAGCAGACAGGGATCCAGGGATAGGGTCAAGGATGAGGGTCCAGAAGAAGATGCCAGCAGGTACTCACAGTGGTCTTCTGGCCAATAGCTCTGGCCAATAGCTGGCAGAAGAGGATGAGGGCTGAGCTAGAACTTGAGTAGGTTTTGCAGGGTAGTGGGATCTCACTGGAAACTGGTGCTCTCCAGCTGAGACCCTAGGTTCTCTTGGCAGAGGCCAGGATTTGGGGGTCAAGGATCTTGCCCACAGGAACTCAGAGTGGACCTGCAGACATAGGAGGATCTCTGGGAGGGGCCCGGGACTCCAGCAGAAGTCTGGAGGCAGGGTCAGATACCACGCATGTGGAAATTACGGGTGGTCCCGCGTGGATAGTCAGGTCTCCTTTGTTCAGAGTTGCTCTGAGAAGTCTCCGAAGTAGGGTGGACTGTTGGCTCTACCCTCTGTCCCAGTGCTCAACCAGAGTGGCAGGACCGTCAGTGGGGTAGGGCACAGGGTAGGGGGGGTAGGCTGGCGGTGGGGATGGGTGGGGATGTATCAGAGCTCCAAGGGTGCTCTCGATGGGGACTGGAGACAGGAGCAGCAGGATCAGGGGCCAAACCAGGGAGTTCAGTGATAAATTTTAATAAGCTTTTTTAGGTAAACAAAAGTGAACTGTATGTTTTGAGGAATATTTTTCAATAAATTCCTGACAAGTATAAATCTCACTATTTTCATATAGAATAAATATACTTTAAACTTTTTTGAGTATTGGAAATGACATTATTATTGTTATTATTATCATCATTATTATTATTATCTTTAAAATATAGTGGATGCAGACAAATTTATTGGAGAGTATGGAATACTTTGTTAAAAGGATTTTCATTTGCCTATTATATGTATCTCTAACTAGAATACTCTATGCTCAAATATTAATTTATATTAAAAAATGTGAACTTTAGGGATGGAAATTTCACGAGATCATATGGACTCAGATGAAAGTCTTTCAGACAGAGCCAATGCTGGATCTCTGGAAAATGAAGAGAAGAATCAACAGTTCTTTGCACCTGAAGAAGGAACAAAGGCTTATGATTACTTTCAGAAGGTTGTTAATGCAGTGCAGACCTGGTTCAGTCTCTTTGGTTGGCCTGAAGGGCCCCATTCTCTTTCCATTCCTCAGACAATAAGAAGGTGACTATATTTAGTTTATAAATTATTTGTTTTTAATTTTTGTAATAGTGTGCTTATTTGGATCATTTTTACATGAAACTGACTTAATAATTTAGTTTAAACTGATGAATCGTTAATAGAATGTTGAGATAAGAAGATACAAATTTAATTTGTGTGATTTGTGTGTTCTTTGAATTTTCTTTGAAGTTAATCTTCATTTTTAAAATGGGAAGTTTTGGAAATATAGTTTTTCTTTTACCTTTTTGTATTTTCTTATATTTTATTTTTCATTTTGTATAATGCCGGCATGTGCAGTTATGTTTTATTGATCTTTTTCAGTTGTGAGGGTTTTCTGCAGAGCTCTGTCTACAATATTGTTCACAGGGAATTCAAACACTTGTAAGAACAACCATTTCATACTCAACCAGATAGCGATCACTTAAGGATGACTGTTTCCTAATAATAAATTGGTAAACAATTTACAGTATGATGTGATATAAAATTTAGGAAATTTAAAGGAAATTTAGGAAATTTAAAGGAAATAAAGTGTTGGTAATGAAGGGAATAACCTAAACAACCCAAGTAAGTTTAAATTAAAGAATAAAAAGGGAAAGGGTATAAAGGAATGGAAGAGAAAACAACAGTATTTTAAAATGTCTGATCTTTGAAGAGTTTGGGAGGAGGGGTGAATATGATCATGCTTTGTATGGACATTTCAAAGACCTGGTAACAATACATATTTAATATAAAGTATTGGATTACAATAAAATATGAAACTATAATTAAGTAAATATAAATTAAGGCTAACATGAAATCGATTTTAAGTAAAATATGAATAAAAGCATTACTAAAACAGTAAAAGAAGAGATAAAATAAAGATTGCAGAATATTTTTCTAGTTCCATTGTTAATAGAATAAACTAGATTTTGATCACAGCTAGTGTTTATTTTAGTTAGGAGGTATATCTTCTCTAAATAGCCCAGAGTCATTTAAGCAGAGAGAATACTGAGATTTATATTTTATAGGAAAAAGAGAGGAGCTGGACACTCAGCCACCCTATCTTAGCTTTTTCAGACCCATCCTGGCAGCACATCAGTCTCTGGTTTAGAAGATCATGAAAAATATAGTCATCTATCTTCAGGACTGAGCTCAGAGTTCTCATTGCCACCTGACAGCAAACCATCATGTAAAAGTATAACTCCACATGCCAAACAATAAGCTAACAGTTGTTTAAACACTTATACAGTAACCTGCAAGTAACTGAACTTGCACCTTACTGCAGGGAGCATGATTTGTTATTAAACTCATGCATTGATCCTCATTTATATTTAGTATGGTATTTTCTAGATTTTCACTTAATTTTTTATATGACATATAGCTCAATGATAAAATTTTTCTATCTTGAGCATAATACATATAGAGTCTGTTGTAAAATGTATTATCTGGAGGCCCATGTGTCTATTATTGGCTGTTATTTATCTATTTTTATTTACCTTATTTATGATGATATTAATTTTATCCATAAATTATTTGTTCAATAGTGGTAATTCTAGAGTATAAGAGCACTATTATATTTTATATTGTCCAGCAAGCTGACAAGAATACACAGTAAGTGGTATAGTCAGGTTTGATCAGTTCTACCCTTTCCTAATACATGCATTATTAGGCTATTTAGACCCTTTGTGTCAAACTTGAGAGATTATAATTGAAATGGCCCTTTGGATACATTTGATTTCTCAATCTGAGCTCATGATACATTTGTGATTTTAATTGTTAAGAAATATTTATACAATTTACCATGGGATATATAACAAAATATAGACAGCAAAGACTGGTATATGTTTTTTATTTTTTTATTTTTTTTTTTTTTTTTTTTTGCTCCATTAAAAGTGAGTATGTATCACAAACTGTGCAAAAGAAGTAGGAATGAATATTGCTATATATTATTTTAAGATTAGATGTGTATATAGGAATGGTAGAATTCTGAAATTTGTGTTTTACATAAGAATCCTTACCAGGTCAGTTGTTCAGGTTATCATATTTTAAATGTTAAGTCATAACTATGGAGAAAGTGAGTGTATTTATTTTTTATAAACATATATGTTTTAAAATGTAAAATTGTCTTGGAAAACACAGATATTGTGTTTAGGTTACTTGTATATTACCATATGTTGAATAGGTGTGAGCATGGATCAACCTAATTGTTTTCTCAAACCAATTCAGTTTCCAGTCTGCTCATTGAGCCCCTCGATTGCAGTATTAGTGGTATGTGTGGAAATGAGATAGTTTAAAATCTTTAGCAATATTTAAAATTTTAATTTCTCCTTTCAAATAGTAGCCACATGAATTTAAGATATATTGCGTTCTACCATAATATTACTTGCTTTAGTTATAGATCATATTTTTGTATAAAGTAACATTTTTAGACTGAGGTTAATTTTCTCCTTTTTTTCATAGGGATGTGCAGAAAATACAATTCTATTCAGCATCCTCCCCAGCCAAGAAATTTTCTAGACAGTATGATTTTTCCAAATATAATAAGACGATTTATGATGTGGTTCTTCACTTGAGTGGAAGACTGCCGCCTGGAATTAATTCAAACCAATCCTTACCTGTGGATAACATTGAAAGAGTGATCCAGCTCCATTCACAACATGCCTCCCTTCTTGACTTTATCACGTAAGAGCTTAGATACAATAGTTTAAACATGTAATCATGTTTCAGCTGAATTGATGAATGGATGCACATGTAAGTGGATGGGTTAAAGGAAATAATTGTTCTTTTGTTTCAAATTCTTTTATCATACACATTGTAAAATATATCAAGAGATGTATACACTAGTTAAGATCAACATCCCATAACATTTTTTGAATGCATAATCTGATACACACTTCATAATGTTCTCAGATCATTGGTATGGCTTATTAAAATAATGTGCTCATTCTTACAGGATTTATAATGCTAATTTGGACTATATAAATTGCAAAGTGATATGAATAGTACTAGTCCATGACCTAATTTGAAGGCATATATATCATAAATTGAAAGTAATAAAAATTCTTATATTAGTGGTAGCATCACATCTTAGATTATGTGAGGAGGCTCCATATTATTAGTTAAGTAGCTAATGAGAGTAGGTTTCTTTTGGAGAAATGGCAGTAATTTTCTTTAAAAATATGGGCCTTGGTAGATTGCTCATGCTCCAGTAGATGACTCCATGCATAACCTTGTTCATGAGGGCAGCATTAATCATCAAAGGACTAATTTAATAATGTAAACCCACTACTTAAATAAGGGACTTTTCAGATTCATTTCTTTAAAAATGACATTTATATAACTTAGTGACATATTCACTTGGAGAGAAAGGTTTATATACTTAGTTCTTTGGCACTTGTGATTATTGTTTGCATATTTTCCAGAAGTTTTGACATTAACATAGGTCATTCTGTTTTGACATTATTGATGTCAACACTGCAGGTATGGAATAATGATTTTGGCGTTAAAACCAGGTCATTAAGATTTATTCGTTCTTCATCAGCAAATACTTGGCTGTCAGGATATGTTGACTTTGATAAAAATTATATACTATTTAGGAAGTGGTAGCATTGTTAATAAAATCGGGTCATTAATCAAAGATATGTGTATGTGTTCATCAAGGACATAAATCTAATAATATTCAAAATAGTTGCAAATGTTATTTGCTTCTCCTCTTAAATTAATAACTCATTGGGTATGGACTTTTGCAAACATGCC